TGCAATATATTCTCCCATTCTGTAGGTTGCATTTTCATTTAATTGATAGTTTCTTCAGCTGTGCAAAAATTTTCACTATGTGCAGATGATATGCTACTATGTATATAAAACCTTAAAGACACTACAAAAAACTATTAGAACTAATAAATGAATCTAGTAAAATTGCAGGATTCAGCATTAAGATACAGAAATCAATTGTATTTCTATCCATTAATAATGAACTATAAGAAAGAGAAATTAAGAAAAAAGATCCAATCTGTAATTGCATCAAAAAGAATAAAATAGAAATATTTTTAGAAATAAACTTAACCAAGGAGGTGAAAGATCTATACCCTGAAAGTTATTAGACATCGATAAAAGAAATCAAGGATTACACATATAAATGGAAAGATATACCATGCTCATGGACTGGAAAAATTAACATTATTCAAATGTCCACATTGCCCAAAGCAAACTACATATTCAATGCAATGCCTGTACAAAAAAAAAAAACACACGGAATTTTTCACAAAACTAGAACAAATAATCCTAAAATTTGTATGGAACCACAAAGATCCAGAATAGCCAAAACAGTCTTCACAAAAAGGAACAAAGCTGGAGGTATCATGCTCCCTAATTTCAAACTATACTACAAAGCATTAAGTGTCTAACTTTTATGGTACTGGCACAAAAACAGCCACATAGATTAAGGGAATAGAATAGAGAGCCCAGAAATAAACCCATGCTTATATGGTCACTAAATCTACAACAAAGGAGGTAAGAATATACAATGGGGCAAAGCCTGTCAATTCAATAAATGGTGTTCGAAAAACTTCACAGCTTCATGCAAAAGAATAAAACTAGACCTCTTTCTTACACCATGTACAAAAATAAACTCAAAATGGATTAAAGACTTAAATGTAAGACCTGAAACCATAAAACTAGCAGAAAATAAAGGCAGTAAGCTTTTTGGCTTCAGTCATAGCAATATTTTTTTAAATCTGCCTCCTCAAGCAAGGGCAACAAAAGCTAAATGTTCTTCCAAATTATTACCAAAGACTCTTACCTCACAACTATAATTTTATATTTATTTCTCTTTTCTTTTAAGCCATTTTCTCTTATGTGTTTCTTATACATGTGTTTGTGTTGTGATCTGCAAGGCCAGAAAGTCATTACATTTCATGTCATGTGATCTTGTGGAAAAGGAATACCCTTCCCTTATAGGATGAGAGTGGTATAGATTATAATTTATTGAAATATGACTAGATGGCTCGGACTGGGAAGATAAATTCCCAAGGTGTAGGGGTAACATTTAAAGATGACTGTACTCATGGTTCAAAGTATTATTTTCCTTCTCTTAAATAACTAAAACTATTTTTAGTGCTTTAAGAATGCAAGTAACAAAGTGCACATAATTTTTTCCTAAGTTTCTATTTCATTAGAACAGAGTTGTGGAAGATCAAGAATGTTGCCTGCCGTATCAGTAAACAAAGGATGTTGTGGCCATCAAACGTTAGCCACTGCAGCCACCCCGACCTGTGTACCCTGAGGGAGTTCAGGATGGAAAAACCATCTGGGATCCTAGATAAAGAGAATATCAAAGGAATGATTACAGTAAGCCCAGACCCTTGCATCTTCCCATAGATAAAAAAGCACTAAATTCATTCACTTGAGATGTCTGGTTTTCTTTAATTAACAGTAATCTTTTGATGTTCCAACTACCTGGTTTGTTTTTTGGGTTTTGTTTTTTGCAAAAACTCCTATATATCCTGGCTCCTATCTTACCATTCTGCACAAAGGCATCCTTAAAATTTTTGGTTGTCATTTTTTGACATTTGATAATTTTAAAAGTGAAAATGGCATTTATGATTCAATTTGTTTCTGAAACAGCATTTTTTAAGTTTGTTAGACATTTTTTTTTCAAAAATTCTTCTATACTTTTCATAACTAGGAGCATTTTTATAGACCAGCTTCCACTTTGACTCTTCCTTCTTATCTCCTTCCTGGGATGACATTGTTTCTTCTATCTTAGAATTTTATCTACTTTTTAAAAGCAGCATGTTATATAAAATATTTGTAAAACATTTCTGCTTTGTCCTAATTTTTCTGTTTTCTGATGTCTCATATATCTTTTCAAGAGACAATTCCCTAATTCATTATCTTATGCTCACTATCATGTATTATTTATTTTGCTGACAAAATTATCCTCAAGTTCAAAAAATTTTAGAAGCTTTTTCTTGTCATTAGGTAGAAAACTCTCTGCTTGGAAACAAAGGCCTTCAACAAAGAAAATCCAGACCCTATTTTCCCAGTTTATTCTCATGCATGTAAGCTACACTCTTGCCAGTCTGAATTAACAGCATCCATTTGCCTCTGAATTCATCCAATATGTTCTTGCATTTGTGTCTTTGTTAATTTCAGTCCCAGTCTCTTGACAGCTCTGTCCTGTTATTTCTAGTTGAAACTTTGCAAGACATATTTCAAATTTTACATTTCTTCATGAGAGCTAATTTGATCTTCAATTAGAATTTACTGAAAACACCATTTATGGTTTTTATGGTTTACCATGTTAATTTGTATAGAAGTTCTTCTAAATTACCTTACTGTATTAAACTTAGCGCTTTAAGGAGAGGCTCTGCCCACTTCCCCACCTGGGACTTTGCACATAATGGAGCCTCAATATATACATGTTTAATTGAATTAAATCTAAATGGTAGTTGGTTAAATCCTGCTTTATTGAAAAGACTGAATTAAAGCCTACAGCAAAAGGTCTCACAAGTTCTCATGGATTTTCATATTTGATTTAGACACTGAGCCAGAAGCTTTGGAATTATTACTGCCCTGGCTTAGAGAACATATTTATAAACATTCCTTTGGGGAAATGCATTTCCTCTCTTCTGAATATGATAGACCCACTGAAAATAACTCCGTAAGTAACCTGTCCTAAGGCACCATGTGCTTTGGGCAGTAAAACCCCAAAATATAGATAATATTTAAAGAGGACAGTCTGAATATGAGGAGTAGTGAAAAATGTCTCTTTATGCTTAGAGAGATTTAATTTTTTCACTTTCCACTTTAAAGAAAAAGGTAAAACAGAGTTGGCAATGTTAATAAGAAGTGATCTTTAACAAAGAGAATATGGAAAATCTACAACTACCATTTAATTAGAAATTGGTACTTATAAAATAGTTAAGTGTGAGAAGACATCTACTTCTGACCAAGATGGAGTAACAAGGGACTGGATTTGCTCTACTACCTGAAATAACAAAATATAAAATCGGCCTGATAGATGTAAATGTGTATATGTGTACACATACACACACACACACACAATACAATAGTTCACAACAAAGGACAGTGATCCTTGAAAACAAGCAACAAACAAAGTGAGTTATACAATTACCCCAGCTTGCTGTCTTGAAAGAGTTTTCAAGCTGAAGAACTCAGGCAAAAGTTGGCAGACTCCAGTTAAGAAGATGAAGCAGGCAGTCTGGGAAGACCAAAGGGTCTACAGTTTGCAGGACAGAGTATCAGAGAGAAGAAAGCTGAGCAGAGAATTCCAGAGATCTCCAGGAGGCCCCCACCAACAGTCATTCAGCTGAGTACAGATCAGCACACGAATGTGAAGGAATTACCTAAGGCTAGGGAAAGAGCCACTCTGAAAGAATAGGAGTAACATTGCTTGTGCTCATATGAGTTTGGGAAGAGTACCTATTTCCACCAGCCCCAATAGAAAACCTCATGATTCATAGGGAACTGAGTATAGACACAGAAGGGTTTTGCCTCAGTGGTGGGGAACAATTAGCTTAGACTGACCACAGCTTGGTCCTACCTAACAAATCTTAAAAGCAAAGACTGAAAAGATCAAATTTGCCCCCAGCTGTAAAAATAACTCTACCTCCTCTGCTGTCAGGCTTGATTATACTTGGCAAGTTTGTCTACTCTTCTTACTGACTGATCCCTGGATACATGGAGCCAAAGTGGACCATCACTTACAGTTCAGTGGGAATTTGCTGTATCCTCTGGTGACAGTGAGCCCCCTTTGGGGACTAGAACTCTAAACCCGTAGAGTTAAAAATTGTTGGGATAGGAAACACAAAGTCTCCACGTGGGTCATTGGAAGTAGCGGTAAGTTCCACCCAAAGTTTCCCAGATCCATGTTTCTGTCGTTTGGGACACAGCACATTACAAAATCTCCAATTCAATGTGTGTTGTTGACACTTTATCCTCACAGGAGATTGCCTCAGAGCCAGTGCTTCTGCTGCACATTCAGCAGGCTGTTTCACTATTTGTTTAGGCTGGCAGCTTCTGGGTGGTATAAGACTAGTGGACAATATGGTCATAGGTCCACCATCACACCCCATTTATTATAAAGTGGGCCTCCTGGTTGGATGCCCATCTTATGTGAGATCAGACATTCTCTAAACTCCCAAGCAGTGGTGCTGGCTGATGCCCTGCAGGCAGAGAATGCCAACCCATAACCAGAATAAGTGTCTATGCCTGTGACAACAAACTGCTGGCCTTTCCAAGGTGGAAGGGACCCAATGTAGCCAACTTGCCACGGAGGGTTTGGTTGGTCCCTCTGGGGCTCAGCATTGGTCTCACTGGTAGGCACGCTGAGTGTTCAGAGGT